CTAGACCCTTCATCAGAAAAGCTTTTCTGATGAAGGGTCTAGGCCCGAAACGTCAGCCTCTCTGCTCCTATGATGCTGCTTGGCCTGCTGTGTTCATCCAGCCCTGCACCTTGTTGTCCCTAAGATTTGAGGTGTTTTAGGAAATGTTGCTCAATTTAAACAGAGCTGAAGCCAATCCGGATGTGTCACAAAGACTTGGGACAGATCCAAACGAGTTAAAAACACCAGACTTAGGTTAACAGCTGTAACTATAGGCCAGAAAGGAACATGGAAGGCAATGAAAGATTCCAGGTCACAGGCAGAGAACTAGTTAACAGATAACTTAATGCTCAAGCTATAAGAGAGTCATTGGATTTCTCAAATAAACCAGGAGAAAGTAAAGTTGAAGACTCACTTTGTGGAAGAGTTGTAGAGTAACGTAGCAGAAGCTGAACATTCAAGTGATCCAAGGAAAGTAGAAGAGAGAGGAAAAGAGATAACACAGTGTGGAGCTGGAGGAACACAGCAAGCCAGGCAGCATCAGAGGAGCAGGAAAGTTGATGTATTGGTTTGGGACACTTCTTCAGATTTTCAGATTACCACCCATCAATCTCCTAGAAATTAAATTGACAAAAATGTCTGAATCTGGTGCATTGATTATAGAACTGGACATCAAAGGGTTATGTGGCACAGATCAGTAAACAGATCTGACTGCTAATACCAAAGCAGATTTGGAACCCAGTTAAGACAAAAGGTGTGAATGTGGGAAATGGCACCTCATAATCACAATGGAGAAATATCATTCGCATTCCATTCTTCCTGGTGGGAAGATGGATGTTGTGATCATGGGGAAAATGGACTATCAATGTCCAACTTCCATCATTTGATTTTAATAACTGAAATTATCATGGTATATAATTTTTTTTTTAAGAAAATGGCCTGCAGACCTAAAATGGCTGCTGTGATCACTTCCAAACCCAGATAGCCCACATGGAATATACAAAACCAGCTTCCTGGGAATTACCACATTTCAATCATTCACTTTGGGAAATAGAGGAGACAGAAAACAACATGGACTGAACACGTCAAGGATAAGACCCCTTATTCACTCTCGCTCTGTTTCATCTTCAAACTCAAGACACTGATGCCTTCGAAAACCAACATGGAAGAGCTGTGTTGACTCAATAATCAGGAATATCTGTTAACTTTGCAATTCCTGAGGAAATAGAATGGCAGTGAAACAGTTGAGAGTCAGGCTTCATTCTCACAACTTAAATTTTTTTAAAAATTAAATTGTAACAGCCCTTATTTTTTCTGTTGTCCTCATAATTTCTGGAAGCTCAATACATGAGTTGTGTGTATGCGTATGTGTTGGATGTTGTGTTTTTTTTAACAAATAATAAAAGCTTACTTTCTCTCAGAAAAACCTTTGAACTTGTTCACCATCATTTTAATCTTGTTAACTAAGTTTAATTGAAGAGCGGTAGCTATGCACTAAAAAGGAAAATAAGATGTTATTTCCTGTAGCCACCAAGGGAAGGTTAAAAAAGAGAGGAGCCATGAACCCTTCTCACCTGGTTGTAACAAATTCCAATATGGGATAGCTGTTATTCCCATGACTTTAACACTATGAGGAGTGGAAAATCAACATCCCACAGCAAGTCAGAAGTAATAAATACATAATGAGCTTCATGTAAATTAAGGGTAAGACCCCAAGTGAATAAAAACAAGAAAGACCATTACACTATAATGTAAAATAGTGTGATTTCTGTCCTTGGAGCTAAGAAGCTAGAAAGAAGTCATTGAAGAACCTACATTTCTATGGCTCCAATAATTGTAACATGAAGATACAGCTTGTATATCATCAGAATCATAGAATTGCTACAGTGCAGAAGAAGATAATTTGACCCATTGTCTTTGCACTGGCTCTCCAAATGCACAATTGATTAAATGTCATAGTCCTGCTTTCACCCTGTAACACTGCACATTCTTCGTTTTCCGATAACCATCTAAGTCACTTTTAAATGTTTCAATTGCACTTGATTCCACCCAATTCGAGGCAGTGTATTCCAGATCATCATCATTCACTACATGAAAAGGCTTTCTCTTGTAATGCTTTTACTGTTCATTTCCAGCCATTGTTTTCTTATTTTTGATGCTTTTCATGAATGGAAGCAGTTTCTCCCTATCTATTCTGTCCTTGTGATTTTAATTACCTCTGTCAATCTTCTCTCAGCCTTCTCTTTAAGGAAAGCAGTCCTAATTTATCCAATTTATCTTTATAGCTGAAGTTCCGGATTCTTGGAACCATTCTTATGTATCTTTTCTGCACTTTATCCAATGCCTCCAAATCCTTCCCAAATTGCAATGTCAGGAATCAAATGTAATAGGACCTGGGTATACATGTTCAATATAACTTCCCGTTGTGATTCTTTGTGCACCTCTTACTAAAGCCCAAATGATACGATATGTTTTATTAACTGCTCTCTCAACCAGTCATGCCACCTTCAATGGCTTATGCACATATCCAACCAGGTTTTCCAACTCCTCTACCCCTTTTAGTATGCTGTCTTTTATTTTGTTTTGTCACTCCATGTTCTACCCAACAGAATGAATCACTTCACATTTTTCCACTTTGAAATTCATCTGCCACCTGTCTGCCCATTCTACCAATCATTCCATGTCCTTCCGACGTTCCACTCTGTCCTCCTCGCAACATACAACTTTTCCCAGTTTCATACGATAAGGAAACTTTGAAATATGCCTGTACCCCAAAGTGTAGGTCATTAATAAGGAAAATCAAACAAACACTGATGGCTGGGGAACATCACTACAGATCACCAGATTCTTTAACTGCTTAAGATTGATAGAAGGTGAACTGAATAAATCATGCATGCAAACAGTAACAACAAGAACTTATATTTATTTGATATCTTTGATGTAATGACTTCAGGTCTGCTATAACTTTACTTGTTTTTTGCTTCTTTCAGGAGGTCACTGGGGGAATTTTTCTATCTCTTAAATATCTTCCAACAGCCCGGAAATTGGAAGTTGTCCTGCTGAAGGTGAAAACTGGCTGCTTGAGCACCAGTCCAGATATAGGTATTTACAGTAATACCATTTATACAATGTTGTTCCTTGGCCATTTGTGGATGATGCCTTATGATAAAAGAATTAAGAAAAATACTTAAATTTAAGGATGTATTAAATAAACTCTTTGCCTCTCCGGTGATCATATCTTTAAAGTTTTTCTAGCACTGATGTGTTTGTAATGGGCATTGAAGCCTAACTCATCAAATGCTCAATTTGAAGGAGAGATTTTTGAGCTCATGCATTCATGTTTCTGTGCCATTGTGTCATAGAGCCAAATAAAGATCAGAATTTTATGACCTGGTCAGTAAGTTCCTGACTTTGGACCTTACAGTTAAGTTAAGATGTCACTTGAGAAAATATATGATGTTCCACTGAAAGACTTACAACAAATAATCAAGGATAACCTTGTAAAAACATCTAGTTATTGAATCAGTAGTTATGTGGGGTACAGTGACATTGGGGTTCTCCTAATAGAGTAGGTCTGGACTAATGATACAGGCACAAATGTCAAATCCGACCACAGGTTTTGGAGAATTTAAACTTAGTTAATTAAAGTAGAAGAAAATAAATGAAAAGCTGTGTCAGTGACTAAAGGATTGTCCTAAAGATCTATCTGGTTCACTAATTCCCCTTCGATGAGAAAATCGGCTCTTTCTGAATTCTGCCATTTCTTTCACTAACATTGACAAACACCAACTGAAAGCATTCTGTAGAAAGTAATGGACAAACTGGGTATTGTTGCACTGGGGAAGTGATGGTACGGGAAGGGAATGTGGTGCTGGTAGAGATTAAGTAAGAATCTCTTGGTTGGATATTAGCTGTGTTTTGAAGAAGGGCCACTGGACCGGAAAGGTTAATTCTGCTTTATCTCCATGGATGCTGCCAGACCTGTTGAGTTTTTCCAACAATTTATGTTTTTGTCGTTGTGGATATTAGCTCGGTTACCTGATGTACAAGTTAGCTGTTGGATTCTTGTATGAGCAATGATGAGACTGCATTTGCAGTTTATCTTTACACTTACCTAGATGGAAGTAGAAGCTTAAAGGTTCAGAGCTTAGATGACGTTCACTACCAATTAAATACCAACTTCACAGCTGCAATGCCCTAAAGCACAGAGATGTCCAACCATTTTGCATGAGGTTGGTGGAGAAGGTCATATTTTGATTTTTTTTTTCACTCAGGGTACTGATGAGCAAATTTCAGAAAGCTATGGTTTGTCACAGTGTAAAACTTTTTGTTGCTACAATGACTGCTCATGTCCTCCTTGTGTCCTCCTGCCCTCCCTGGCTGGAGCAGCCTCTCTCACATTCCCCCTCCTCAGACCACAGCACAACTCTCTATCTCATCACTATCCACTCCATGACTCTTAGTGCCCTCCTCCCAAAGATAGTGTCTCCCTGAAACAATGTCTGGCCTTGACCTGTAGACTCACAGGCGTGGATCCAGGTCTTGGACTGAGTGAAGCCACTCATGTTGCCTTGCCCACTGTTCCTCAAATCATTGACAGAATCCTGCTTGCATTTGCTGTTGGTGTGCTCACTACATGGGAGAGAAATGATTGCGGATTAGAGCAGTAACTCCTTACAAGACCTTCCAGTTACACTTTCCTGTATTTTGAGCAAAGGCCTAGCAGGCCATGTTATCCATCAGGAATTAGGCTGCTTATTGGTCAAGATAGTAGGAACTGCAGATGCTGGAGAATCCAAGACAACAAGGTGCAGGGCTGGATGAACACAGCAGGCCAAGCAGCATCATAGGAGCAGAAAGGCTGACATTTTGGGCCGAGACCCTTCATCAGAAAAGGGGGAGGGGAAGGGGGTTCTGAAATAAATAGGGAGAGAGTGGGAGGCGGATAGAAGATGGATAGAGGAGAGGAGAGGTGGAGAGGAAACAAACAGGTCGAAGAGGCGGGGATGGAGCCAGTAAAGGTGAGTGTAGGTGGGGAGTTAGGGAGTGGATAGGTCAGTCCAGGGAGGACAGACAGGTCAAGGGGGCGGGATGAGGTTAGTCGGTAGGAGATGGGGGTGCGGCTTGAGGTGGGAGGAGGGGATAGGTGGGAGGAAGAACAGGTTAGGGAGGCGGGGACGAGCTGGACTGGTTTTGGGATGCGGTAGGGGGAGGGGAGAGTTTGAAGCTTGTGAAATCCCACACTCCTCTCCAGCCCCACCACACCCGGCACTTTTCCCTGCAACCGCAGGAAGTGCTACACCTGCCCCCGTACCTCCTCCCTCACCCCCATCCCAGACCCCAAGAAGACTTTCCACATCAAGCAGATGTTCACCTGCACATCTGCCAATGTGGTATACTGCATCCGCTGTACCCGGTGTGGCTTCCTCTACATCGGGGAAACCAAGCGGAGGCTCGGGGACCGCTTTGCAGAACACCTACGCTCGGTTCGCAATAAACAACTGCACCTCCCAGTCGCGAACCATTTCAACTCCCCCTCCCATTCCTCAGACGACATGTCCATCCTGGGCCTCCTGCAGTGCCACAACAATGCCACCCGAAGGTTGCAGGAACAGCACCTCATATTCCGCTTGGGAACCCTGCAGCCCAATGGTATCAATGTGGATCTCACAAGCTTCAAAATCTCCCCTCCCCCTACCGCATCCCAAAACTAGTCCAGCTCATCCCCGCCTCCCTAACCTGTTCTTCCTCCCACCTATCCCCTCCTCCCACCTCAAGCTGCACCCCCATCTCCTACCGACTAACCTCATCCCGCCCCCTTGACCTGTCCGTCCTCCCTGGACTGACCTATCCCCTCCCTAACTCCCCACCTACACTCACCTTTACTGGCTCCATCCCCGCCTCTTCGACCTGTTTGTTTCCTCTCCTCTATCCCTCTTCTATCTGCCTCCCACTCTCTCCCTATTTATTTCAAAAACCCCTTCCCCTCCCCCTTTTCTGATGAAGGGTCGAGGCCCGAAACGTCAGCCTTCCTGCTCCTATGATGCTGCTTGGCCTGCTGTGTTCATCCAGTCCTGCACCTTGTTGTCTCTGCTTATTGGTCAAGCTTGTTGTAGCAGGTGGAACAGGTTTGTTCATAGCATTCTGCTGACTCAGAGGTGCATAAAATGTTCCACTTGAAGTACTACAGATATAATTCCTGCATAACAAGAGCTGTGGATTGGTTGTTTCAATGCCGGCTGAACTCTCTGGCATATCCCCTTTTCTTGATCACTTCAACCATGAAACACTGGGCTGAATTTTTACTTACCTGATGCACAGGATTGCTGAGAAAGCCATAGGATTCCACAGTTTGGACTTTCTCACAAGTATGTGGGCTTTAATGAGTCCAGCTTCTGATTGGTTTCCCACCATAGAGTTAGCTCAATGAAAGGCAGGACACTAGGAAGCTCAGAGAAACAGAGGGATCTTGGGGTTCTTGTCCACAAATTCCTGAAGGTAGAGGGTTAGGTTAATGGATAGTTAAGAGGGACACTGGCCTTTATCAGTCGAGGCATGGATTATAGGAGTAGGGAGGTTATGTTGAAGCTGCGCAGAACTTTGGTTAGGCTGCAGCTGGACTTGCAGTCTAGTTGCTGCAGTTTAGGAAGGATGTGATTGGACTGGAAAGGGTGCAGAGGAGATTCACCAGGATGTTGCCTGGGATGGACTACTTTAAGCTATGAAGAGAGGCTGGATAAGCTCAGGTTGTTTTCTTTGGAGCAGAGAAGGATGAGAGGGGCCCTGATTGACATGTATAAGATTATAAAGGGCATTCACAGGGTGGATAGAAAGCAGCAGTTCCCTTTAGTGGAAAGTCAGTAACAAGGGGGCATAATTTTAAAGTGAAAAGCAGGAGATTCGAGGGAAAGATTTTCCATCCAGATAACGGTGGAAATGCACTGCCAGGAAGGGTAGTTGAGGTGGATAATTTCACAATCTTTAGAAAGTGGTTGGATGATCATTTGAAAAGTCATAACATTCAAGGCACGGAGCCTAGTGCTGGAAGGTGGGGCAAGAGTAGATTCAGTGTAGCTTTGGCAGTACAGACTTGAGGGCCTCTCCTGAAGTGTATGATTCTATGGTTCAACAATGAGCCTGATTGATTGCCTCCAGTGAGCTGGGGAGCCAGCCAGTAAAGACTGCAGAACATATGAAGCAGAGTCAGCTTGTGAGGGTGGCAGAGGTCAGGTGAGGGAAGGGTCCAACCATGAGGGCAGGAGATGGAGGGAGTTCATTCAGTAGGAGGCAAAGTCCAGGGTGAGGTGTGCGAGTCGATTGTCGGTTCTATTATGTATTTTGTAAGATTGCAGATGACATGAAAATTGGGGGCATTATTGGTACTGAGGAGGAAGGTCTGCTTTTGATCAGCTGGTAAATTGGTCAGAGCAATGGCAGATGGAATTTAATCCTAATAAGTGCGGGGTGCTGCAATTTGGGCAGTTTGATGAGGAAAGAATATACACAATAAATGGTAGGTCCTTAGGGAGTACTGAGGAACAAAGGAATCTTGGTGTACAAGTCACAGATCCCTGAAGATGTCAGCATAGATAAACAGCGTAGTGAAATAGGCATGCAGAATGCTTGCCTTCATGAGCTGGCCATAGAATGTAGGAGCAAGGAAGACTTGTTACAATTTTATAAGTGATTCTAAGTGATTTGTTAGGTTGCAGATGGAATACTGTGTGGTCACCAAACTATCGGAAAGACATGATTGTGCTGAAGAGGGTGCAGTGGAGATTCATCTGGATGTTGCCTGGGATGATAAGTTTCAGTTATGAGGAGAGACTGGATACACTGGATTTGTTTTCCTTGGAGCGAAGGAGTTTAAGGGGGCGATCTGACTGAGGTATGCAAAAGTATGAGAGGCATACACAGAATAGACAGTGAGAATCTTTTCCCCATGGCAGATATGTCTAAGACCAGAGCACTCAAGTTTAAGGTGAGGAGCAAATGGTTTAGAAGAGATCTGAAAAAAAAATCACCCAGAGTGTGGTAGAGATATGGAACGTGTTGCCTGTGTGAATGGGGTGGCAAGAACTTTTGCAACATTTAAGAAGAAT